GGCCCCCTCCCCGGCCTCGCCCCCCCCCAAGGCGCTGGCCCAGCCCCAGCCCCCTCCCCACGCCGCTGCTGCGCGTCCCTGGGATGGTTTTACGGGCAAGAAAGGCAGGCAGGCAGGCGTGAGGCCGGGAGCAGCTCCAAGGGCCATCCATCACTCCCAACCAGCCAAACCTCCCGCAGCGAGAGGCGGACAGACGTTTCCCTGGCAGGAGGGGCTGCCAGCCCCGTCCCCGTGCCGCCCACCCAGTGCGGCTGCGTGCGGCTGCCCCAGCTCCGGGAAAGTTTCTCGTCCCTTCCCGGCCCTGCTGCAATTTCCATTAATAGCCAGCTGAGCCGCCTGGCTAAAAATAACCACCGGCCCTCTTCATAAGTCGCCAGTGGCCGCCCCCCCGGCAGCCCCGTGCACCATGGCCGAACGCCGCGTCCCCTTCACCTTCCTGCGCAGCCGGCACGGACAAGCCAGCACATCAGGGAAAATTTCCAGTCTTCCTCTTTTACAGTCTCTGTCTCCTGCCGCGGAGGGAGCTAACTGGAACAAATACTCTGTAGAAATACTTCAGTATTTTCCTCTTGCGCGTGCGCTCTCTCTTTTTTTCTGGGTTGTGAGTACAGCTGTAGATTCAGTGAGCTGGTTCAATTATAATAAAATATACAGTATATATTGTAAATGACTCTGCCGGGCACGGAGCAGTTTCTTCACGAGGGGACAGCACGGTGGGGTTAACCTGCTCTCTCCGTGCAGGCTTGGTCTTGTCCAGCTCCCTGCGGACCCGTCCTCCTCTCCCCCCGCCCTCTGTCTCCAGCAGCCCCCCATGGCTCGCTCTTCCCCATGCATCGGCCTCTGGCTCTGTGCAGAGAGCGCTGGGCATCAGTTGTGTGTCTGATCCCCCGGAGCACCCTGCCACGGGGGGGGGGAGACCCTCGCATCCTTCAAGGTCTCCCCTTCTGTCCTTCCCGCCTCCCTGCATCCTCCCCTGCGTCCTTCCCATTTGCCTGCAACCCTCCCATCCATTCCCATCCCTCCCGCATCCCTCCCATCCCTCCCTGCATCCCTCCCTTCATTCCTCCCTACATCC